ATGCATACATAGGCTCAAGAGTCAACATTTCACTTTATTCACTGACCAACAACCACTAACTTAATTATTCACATCAAAATGAAATTATGTTTCATCACAGCAAATTAGGCTAATTAAATTACATAAGTCTGTTTAGCATGGACACCCAGAATAGATCTGGCTCCAGCAACATCGTGGCAGATACTTTCTTCTGCATTCAAAGCACTGATGTGAATGCACTGTTGGATTTCCCACATATTGCTCGCTTGCAAGCCACAAATGACAAGTTGAAAGGTCTCAGTGAAAACCCAAATTGTTAATTAAAATTCCAGTCTTTACAACTTACTCCAGACACCCAAATAAAATGCGACTCTTATAACAACAAACTTTGTACATACCACTTGTCTTTAGAAAGAAAGTTTTTACTCTTTCCACAGTCTATCATATTCAGGCTTCCAAAAAGGTCATATGAGAAAGATGCATCTGGCTGTCCATACTAAGGGACACTGCCAACTGGACTCATTCCTGCATCAAGTTCCAATGATCCGAAATCATCCAGCGCACACACAGTTCTATGCAGAAAATTGACATGCCATCCAAGCAACTTGACTACTTCATATAGACATCATGGTTTCTCTGCCTCCATTTGAAGGTTACCAATATCTATTCACCTGCATCAATAGATTTACTTGATGGCCTGAAGATTTCCCCTAACAAGACCTCTGCTGAATCTGAGGCTTGACGATTCATATTCAGTTGGATTGCATAATTTGGTGTACCACCAATCATAACAAGGTCAATCATAACACCAATCATAACAAGGATCAAGGTCAACATTTCCATTCCCCCTTTCCTCTTCTCTAACATATGTGCTTGGAATACAGCGAATTCAAACTTCTCCATATCATCCTTTTGAAAATGGTTTAGTGGAACATTTTCACTATGACTTAAAGATAGTTCTAAAGTGTCATATTAATATTTGTTGGACATGCTGTTAGTGCTTCTTGGTCTACAATCTTTCTTCAAACAAGATCCCCAAGGTAAATCCGCCAAACTTGTTTAGGGTATGATGCTTCGACTACCATCGGAATTATTTCAACCATCCTCTGCTCCAGTTGAACCATCCTCCAGTCTCTAGACTTTCCGAGAAGCAATGAAATACTTTCTCCAACTCTTATATCATGTCATAACATATCTTATATCATGCCTTGTTCATGCATCCTGCATTGAGAAACTGCACTCATGTGTTTGCACATTATGACTTGGTAAAACCTCTGCTTGTTCCTGCATATGATGGTCTTTCAAAGTCTATGCCTGTAGCAAGAAACATTTCACTGTTCTTGTGCATGACAAGAAAACTGTTCTAGGAATCAATCAACTGACACATGCACTCTTCGAAACTTTGAATTCTACAATCCCTGTTAACAGCGATTCTTCTGCTTCTTCAGATCCCCCTGTTTCTCCAGGCCTCCAGCAAAGGAGTTTGCTCAACCTTCCAGTTCCCCCCAGTGCTCCACCACATTTAGGAAGACGAGTACGTTTCAGCATCAGATATTTGCGATTTCTTTCTTCATACCTTCAGAACTTGGGGGGGGGGGACTCTTAGATAGCAGAAACTGTGAAGAATTCTTAGACACCAGAAAGATCCAAAGGATAGCACTACCAGCTTTCCCCTCTCATCCGGTAAAAGTGAATTTGTGACTGGGCAGAACTGCCCTTTGATGGCAGCCATCAGTGAAGTACATAAGAACTTCGCTCATATCATAGGATACTCGCTAACGTTCAAACTAGCAAACTTGTTACCACTGTAGAATCCCACCTATGATTCTTCTTCAATTGTATTGAATGACTTGCATGTAATGTTTATCTTTTTTATTTGTGCACATGTGCTAAGCTAATGTATTTTTCTAATCTAACTAAAGTAATAGATGTAAAACTAGGCATATCTTGCTCCTTGCATTAACACATCTCTATAGAATGGTGCTCTCTAAGGTAAGATGTGACATGTTTATAAAGAGTGAAAGATAAGAGCAAAATGTCTAATGGAAAAAAAAAAAAAAAAACTAAAGCATATACAGTGGTACCTCGCGATACGATCTTAATCCGTTCCTGGACTGGGATCGTATCGTAAAAAAATCGTATAATGAACAATGTAATCTTATGTAATTTAATTAATTCATGCAACGCCCCATATATAAACACCAAAATCGTCTATACGTAATAATAATTAGTCACAAAATAGTATATTAAGTACCACATACACACAATAAACATTTATACCACATTTATAAATTAAAATAACCTTATAAATAAATAAAAAAGAAAAAGAAAAATTAATTTCACTTACCGTAAAGTACTGTACAGTCAGCGAGGGATAGTTTTTATTACGACACTGATAAATTGCGCACAGCGTTTATAAATCTTAGACACAGTAATGAAAACTTAAAATTAAACTAAATTTCTTATGTAAAATTACAGACACAGTAATGAAAACATAAAATCAATTTTTTTTTATAATTTTTATCTGTTGCAATTTTTTTTTTTTTTTTTTAACTAACTGAAATTTGAGGTGATACATCATCGTCTTCACTTTCCTTTCTAGTTTTCTTACTAGAAACACTCGCTTCTTCACTTTCTGGGGCACTTCTCTTTGAAAAATATCTATCTAAAGAAGCCTGTTTCTGACGACTCCTCAAAATGTTTCGAAAATAACTCATACAAATGTCATTCACATTGTCCATTGCATGAGCTGTACGCATTTTTTCTGGGTGCTTTTTTTCAATAAAACTGTTTAAGTTTTCAAACCAACCGATGGCTTCCCGTATTTCCGTAGATGTCAGTGCCACCTCCACCTCCTCCTCAACACTCGAATGATGTTCCTCTTCAAGATCGCTGATTTGCATCGCCTCCAGTGCCTTCAAGTCGTCAGTGTTGAGCTCCTCCTTGTGCTCGTCGAGTAGGTTGTCAATGTCAGCCTCATCGACAACAAGCCCCAAAGACTTTGACAGAGAAATAACCTCCTCCAATGGAGCAGGATCATCCATAGCTTCTTCTTCAGTAGGGATTTCGAAACCCTCAAAGTCTCATTCTGCAACCACAGCTGCCCAGAGTTTCCTCCATGCTGAGTTCAAGGTGCACCTTGAGACCTCACCCCATGACTTTTCTATGATTTTTAAGCAATGGACAATGTCGTAGTGACTATTCCAAAACTCACGGAGCGTGAGTTGTGTGCTCTCTGTCACTTCGAAGCATCGTTTGAAAAGGTGCTTCGTGTAAAAGCTTCTTAAAATTAGCAATGACTTGATGGTCCATAGGCTGGAGGATGGAAGTGGTGTTCGGTGGCAGATAGAGCACTTTGATGAAGTCGAAGTCGGGATGTATCTGTTCTTCAAGGCCAGGAGGACGAGCAGGGGCATTGTCGAGCACAAGGAGGCATTTTAGAGGAAGACCATTCTCCTCTAAATATTTTTTCACTGCAGGTCTGAAGCAGCAATTAACCCGCTCAACAAATAAAAGCCTCGTGACCCAGGCTTTGGCGTTGGACCTCTAAAAGACGGCGAGCTTATCCTTGGACACATTATGTGCCTTGAAGGCACGAGGAGCTTCTGAGTGGTATACCAGTAGGGGTTTTATTTTTAAATCCCCACTGGCATTCGCACATAGGGCAAGAGTAAGCCTATCCCTCATGGGTTTGTGTCCAGGAAGTTTCTTTTCTTCTTCTGTGATGTATGTACGACGGGGCATTTTCTTCTAGAAAAGCCCCGTTTCATCACAGTTGAAGACTTGTTGAGGGATGTAGCCTTCATCGAGGATTAACTTTTTGAAGGCCTCGATAAATTCTTGTGCTGCTTTTTCATCAGCGCTGGCAGCTTCCCCATGCCTGACCACGTTATGTATCCCCGATCTCTTCTTGAATCGTTCAAACCACCCATTAGATGCTTTGAACGTTGGGGCCTCTTGTGTTGATGTCCCTTCGCCTCCTTCGTCTCTCTGGGCTTTTGCGAGGTCTTCAAAGATCGCAGTGACTTTATGGCATATAGCAGCTTGTGTTATCGTATCACCAGCAATTTCCTTCTCTTTTATCCAAATAAGAAGAAGAGTCTCCATCTCGTCATTAAGGGCAGTTCTATTGTATGAGAAGGTGGTAATGCCCTTTGCAGACTTGCTGGCTTTAATGGCTTCTTTATTCTTTATAATGGTACTAATGGCGATTGGTTTCGTCCATATGCATTAGCAATAGCCATGATGCGCATGCCACTTTCGTATTTTTTTATAATTTCCAACTTAACTTCCATGGTTATCAATGACTTTCTTTTCCCCTTATCACCACCAGCACTAGAAGCTCATTTAGGACCCATGGCGAATAAAGTTTATCACAAAATAATATTACGATCACACAATCACAAGAATATCGTATGAGCTGTACGAACGCCACGCGGTCTCGAGAAGGGGAGAACGATATCACATCAAGGCTTTGTGTGAACTCAGTATCCTACGATGCTGTGATGCCGACCAATAGGAGAACAGGATTTATGGAGAAAGGAAGATGACGTCACGTCGACCAATACCAGAACAGCTTGAATAGTGACATATTGAGGCTTGCTTAGTGACGCGTGAGGTTTGCCCGTAGCGCGCCAACTTCAAAACAATTTCAAGTGACAAGAGATATTGGGATCGCATCGCGAAAAACGTTTCGTTTCGTGAGAACGAATATTTGCGATATTCCACTTTGTATCTTGAACACATCGTATCGTGAACCCATCGTATCGCGAGGTACTACTGTATTCCCATTTCAGATATAGATGAAAGTGTTCAAAAGCTTGTAGTAATTGTTTTCATATATAAATGTAGTCAATGAATTTAAACACATCAGATTTTCATATATTTCTATAAATAAAAATTAACTCCACTCTCCAGAAAATTTTTTCATTTCACGAAAATTCGAAACACCAGAAATATTTGAATATTTCAGCATTTCAGAAACTATAAAGCATGAAAACCCAGCAATGGAGAAACTCTTCTCAAAATAAAAAGAGTGCAGGCAACCTTTCTTCGAAAGGAGAATAATTATTGACAATGATATTAACATGTTCACTGCTCTGGAAACATTCGAAGCATTTAGCAGTCACAATCTATTAAACAACAAATTATCTATTTAACAAAAAGCCCCATGATGCCATTTTAAAATCTACAAGAAAAACTAAAGTTACAGGTAATTTAAAAAACATTAACTAAATATGACTCACAAAAATAGTGAATTGCCTTATATCGCAAAAATATTGAATTTTTTTAAATATGCCTCACAAAAAATTCTATTTTATTATTTCTAACCCCTGATTGACTTTATAGGATACTCAGCTTATCTGTCTGAATTTATGTTCATATTTTACATAACTTAACATAATTCTGTAAAATGTAGCATTTAATACAGTAATTAATATAATGCATTAAATATAATATAGAAAGAAGATTTGGGCTCAATTTATGTACTTTACATGTTTATGTAAACTGATTTTATAGTTGACATAATAACAGAGTACCATAATATACAATTCTGCAACAATTTTAAATACTTACTGGAATGCAATATGCAGATTCAATATAAAACACCAAGTTTTGAATGAATGCCACTTCATCTAAATTGAAAATGATCTGTAACCCTAATAAAAAAAAAAAAATTCATTAAACATTTTAATTAAAAAAATATTTTATTTTATTAGTCTAAACTCCTGTTAATTCTATATAATTGCTATCTGTAATTTTGAAATCTGCACATCTTTAGGTAAAGTATCAAAGGATTAATATTTCATATATTTCGTAGGCATTCTATACAAATGATAAGCAGGTACAGTATTGAATACATTGATGCACATTAAGTGCCATTTAAAAAAAAAAAAATGGTACTATTCCGTTTTGAGAACAGTAAAAAAAATGCAGCGAAAATGCATGCGCAAAAGCGCCAAATCTAGCAAACGCACCCATTTAACAGCGTGCCAAATCTATCGTACGCGCTGATTTCAGATTGCATAAGTTTATATAGTTCTATATTTTTTAAGACTCCATTGAAAAACTAGTTTAATTTTTAAATCCTTTTTTGATATCCTATGGATTTAACAATTTTGGAATTGCCCATGACGAAAAGTCTGCAATAGAATTTTGAGTAAAGTGCAGAATCACCCACTGCTTGACGCGTTTTTTAGAATGTTAACGTTTTAAAGAATCCATGTACACATCGACCTATTTTCACTTAAAAAAAAGATTGACTTTATCTATGTACACATCGACCTATTTTCACTTAGAAAGTAAAAGAAAATTGACGAAAATCCAAATGGTTTTACACTTGTAAAAAGCGGCAAACAAATAAATGGGCGATTCTGCCTTTACTGAGAATTTTTTCAAAGAAAAGGCCTCATTGATTATAGAAAATTATGTTTGAACAACCAACAAGATGAAATTATGCTTTAGCGATAACTCGGTAGCGAAATAGCGATGCAGGCATCCATTCAGTTATGTTTAGCAATTTTATATAAATTATAATATGATCTGAAATAGTTATCTACTTTATGCTTCCGTTCAGTCATGTTTAGCCTTTTTTATATAAATTATATAATAAAAAGTATTATATGAAATTAACCTTTCATCTAAATTAAAACTCAATCTTAGTTATTTACCATATTCCTTTTTTTGCATTAGGGTTGCCGCAATTATTTTTGGCAGCACTGGCATCAACAATAGTTTGGTGATTTTTTACGGCCCTCAAAACCAAATAGTACCAAGACTTATCTTTAATAATAATTTCTTTAATAAATGTTTTCTTTCAACAAAGATAAAAATATTGTTTTGTAATAACTATCCTTTATTTTAAATAAAAGATTTTTAATAACATTCTCTTACTATTTTTTCTAAATAACATTATTATTCTTGTAGAATGTATATCTGTTAAATAAAAGCCCAATCATGATCTGCTTTTCATATTTTGTCTAAATAGCATTTTCATTCTACAAGTATAAAATGCCTAGGTATTACAACCAGTGCTTGGGGAAAGTAAATAACATATTCAAATAATTCTTAATTTTCATACTTTGCCTAAAAATGCATAGGAATTACATAGAATGCCAGTATTTCATATGTTCCTGGTAACACGATTAAACATCAACAAATATAACAACTACATAAAAAGGTAAGATTTTTTACACAGCCTAATTACTCAAAAGTTGTAATGCAGCAGTTCATAAAATCCTCTACTTTAAGACACTATGTAATTCACATATTTGGGATAAACATTTACAAAAATAAAGCCTACAGGCATTTATGCTAAACTGTAGATTATGGGTGAGTTGCCAAGCTGAGAAAACATACCAAATCTGGCATTATCACATTTTTGCTGAAACTTGTTCAACATTTAAGTTTACCATTTAATCTACATAAGTGGACCTTTTGAAATATCACCATTTCACTGTATTTCTTGCCTCCGGAGTCCCTGTTAAATACCAGGGTGCCTGCATAAAATCAGAAAACTGTTGAACTGGTGATGATAAGTGCAAATACCATGAGTCAGTAGTGATGTAATAAAATTTACTTACAATATAAAGCTATAATGAATCAAATAATCACAAAATACAAAACAATATACAAAATACAATACTATCCACATATAACTTGCTTATTCAAGATAGACACGTGTCTTTTACAGTTGACTCATAATTATAAATCTGGATTACAGGATTAAATAAATTATTCTGCCTGGTATGAAAATTTTTCACCAGATGGTAGAAGTAGATTCTGATTAGAATAATTTTTAGCTCCTCGTATATCTTATTGTTTCTAAAATACCAGGGGACATTTGTGATTTGACTTAGAACACAATTCTAAGCAGTTAGTAATTTCTTCCTCCTGTCTTGCAAGTGTAAGCCCAAAACAGGCAAGCACAGGACGCAAAATCATTTGTATATAATTGTTATCAATAGATAAAACACTATCGTGTGCAATTAGGAGGGAGAGTTAAGCTTTACATGCACAAAACCTTTTGATAATAGATGTAATGTGTGGGTTCCATGAGAGAGTATTAGTGAGATATTTTTAGATAAGGGACTTGCTTAGCCCAGGGCTGAGTAGATCTATAAAATTGTAGGTTTCCCGTAACTGTTTTCCTTCTGGTGAAGAGTATAGCAACTTGTTAACATTTATTTGGATTTTCCATTAGGGCAGCCAGGTCTCTAAACCCTAAATGTATTTTGTAATCATTGGATTACTAGACTAACAGATGCAATTTGAGCAAGGATCACTATGTCACCAGCATACATTGCCAGTGTAGTGTTGGGTGTGCGAGGAATGTCATTCACATATATATTAAACAGTGTAGGTGTATTTTTTGTTGATAAATATGTGAGCAACACTGCTGGCATCAAAACAGTTAAATATGTGGATTTAACTTTGTGGTTCATTTGCAGATGTAGTTACAAGATAAGAGTGAAAGATGTGTAACAGACCAGTGTATAAAGTATAGTTTAATTTTAAAAGCGTAAAAGTGTCCCAAATGCAAAAATTGTACGAAATTCATTGAAGGAAGACAAGTATCGCACATCTGGTCCTTCCAAGCATGAGGTCAAAAGGAGTGTAAGAAAGGTCTCTTGCGGTCAGAAAAGTACCAATCAGTTTATTATGGATGAATTGCATGTGACTGACTATAGTGTAGACATTGCTGCTGTTTTTAAAATGCCAGATAGATGGCGGGAAAGTTCTTAATGGTGTTGATTACATACTAATATTGTTGCTGTTACATATTAATTAACTTTAAAATATGATGCTCTGTTTTTCTTCAATTCCCTTTTTAGATAATGTTTTATTTATTTGTTTACAGATTTTGTTCAAAATTGCAATTGTCTAATATGGCAATTTGACAAGTTCATGATTTTTTGAAAATGCATTTAACTAAGCATATTTGCCGAGTTGATGATTTTTTGAAAATGTGCCAACCTGGCCCATAATCTGCAGTTTTACCAGCATCTATTTTGAACAGCACATGCAGAATATTTTCTATAATCTTATTTCAAAATTTTAACAGTAAAACTTGCTTTCAATTTTTACAATAAAAGTGTAAGAACTGCATCTTCATGAAATTAACTATTATCACGTCATTAAACCACAGCTTTTGTCATATTATAAAATTCTAAATATCCAGTCACTTCTCAAAATATTTTTATATTTACCAGAGGCTGTCATCTGGGCCAAAGTAAGCAAATACAAAGAAGTTGCATCCATCTGCAGATGACCCCAGCCACTATCAGTCTCTACAGTAGCTCCACTCTGGGAGCTATATTTGGCATGGAGAGCATCCATTTTATTTTGTGTCTCTTTAAAATTTTCCAGTTTTTCTTTCTGTTTCATCATGGACATCAAGAGACCTCGCATCAGTTTCACACAGCTCTAGAAAAATTTATTTAAAATTGCAATATTAATTTGAGTTTCATTAAAAAACAATAAAATAATGGTCTTAATAATTTCTTAGATGAAGAAAGGATATTACTTATTAAACCAATGCTACACTGGATGATGATTAACTCTGTTAAGCCAGAAATTGTTCAAATATGATGAAAAACTCAAAGTGTAAAACTTAAATTATCATATTCAAAAATTTTTTCCTTCTTTAATTAATGACATTAATTTCAATCTAGTCTTTCCTAATGTTTTTAAAATTCTAACATCTTAATTTTTCACAATTTGTTACTATTTTCTTCAACATATGATGGTATGTGTGTGTTTGCTTTCCTCTGGCCATTGTTTCTTATGTAAAATATGCTCAATGCTCCTCTTCCCCCCCCCCAACTTTTTTTTTTTTTTTTTTTTTTTTTTTTAAAGGATGGGCAGGGGAGATTCTGAAGAAGAGAGGCCCAAGTCTGATCACCTTCGAAATCTAAACAATTTTATTTAAAATCTATGCCCAAACAAGATCGCTGTTTCACGTAATTTCAAGAGATTGTTGTCCAAATATGTATATATTTATTCACCAAAGCTGTTACTTAAAATGACTGTGTTAAGTACTAACTGTTTTTCTCACATGAACAATATGTTTTCAATGCATTTGGCAATATCTTGTTAATTCCACTCATGTAAACTACATACTTGCAGTTTTGTTTTCGCCTATAGCACCACGCAACACATTTAGACAATTCAATAAATAGTAAAGTTCAATTGTTTATGTTTAATTGATCATCACACCGCATCGCATCTGCATCCACAATAGACTGTTAGGAAAAATTTCTACAAGATACTTCAAAGTTTATTGGTGACTAATTACAAAAGTATACAATTAATGTAGCTAGAGTACTTTCTCACTGGCCAATATATTTTCATGAGTTTTTTTTTTAACTCAATTAATCAAATACGGTAAAAAATCTGAAATTTGGACCACCAGCCTAAAATAAATAAATAACAAAGATCCCCACTGTAAAGTCTGAAATGCAGAATATAGCAACAAGAAGCAGCTGTAAAAGGCATTTCTTTGGAGTAACTGAGATTCAAGCATTTTACTTTCAAGAACTTGCTGGTTATACAGTCGTAGTATGGTCACTAACAATACACTGATTGAATTTGCATTGATACAGGCCAAAATCACACTTTCAGCTCTTGAATTGTTTAGGGGTGGAAGGAATGACCAGGGTTACACATTTTGCTGCCCAGTGCAATCTTGCCTTAAATTTTGCTCCCCAGTACACCCCTACATTTTATGTCTTCCACATCTAAATTTTATTGTGTAGTACTTCTTCTAAATTTTAAAAATTCTGCCATCTTTAATTTTTGACGCTCGGCACTCCTCTAAATTCTAAAATTTTTGCCACTCCTAAGCCCTGACACCCAGATTAGCTGCATTAGTTGTGCCTGCTCTGACACTGACCCTGTGGACTAAACAATAAGTGACATCTCTCAATTGCCATGTCTAAATGTTATCTAATCAGATTTAAACTGATGACCTAAACATCTGGAATTGCTGGAGTAGCAAAGATTCCCGATCTCACCTTGTACTGTAAATAGAAAATTATTCTATTTACCTGTACCCCTAAATTTTATTATCTAGTACTTCTTCTAAATTTTAAAAATTCTGCCATCTCTAATTTTTTACGTTTGGCACTCCTCTAAATTCTAAAATTTTTGCCACCCCTATACCCTGACACCCAGATCAGTTGCATTAGTTTTGCTGGCTCTGGCATTGACCCTGTGGACTAAACAATAAGTGACATCCCTCAATTGCCATGTCTACATGTCATTGATTTAGATTTAAACTGATAACCTAACATCTGGAATAGCTGGAGTAGCAAAGATTCAGAATCTCAGACTTTGTACTGTAACAAGTTCACATGTTTAGTATGATCTTTATCAAATATTTTTATTATTATTATTATTATCCGCACCTCTATGAAAATTTGACAACTCAGCAGTGGCTCTGTGAGCAGATGAAACTGATTTGTTTGGTTATATTTATGGTTCATGGATACTATTTTGTTTATAAGCAATAAAAAAGTAGCTTTTTCTAAGAAACGAGAAACTTTGCAGGAAAAACAAAATTCTGCATGGCTGATATTTATGTTTTTATAGCCAATGGGCACCAGTAATAAAACAGTGGTTAAACAAAGACTATACAGTATGTGTATTCATATACGCATGCAGCATGCCGGTACAGGTCAGTTCAACGCCAACGGTTCGACGCGTGGTCAGTTCGACACGAGGTCGTTTCGACGCGGGGTCAGTTCGACGCCATACTTTTTGCTTTGGTTAGACGCCATACTTTTCGTATTTTTTTATTTAGATAGTTTGCATCATCATTCAAATAAATTTGGTGTATCATCATTTGTGTTCACACCCACATTATGGGAATTTATAGATGGTCTCGTGTTCAAAATCATATATGTTATGAACAATTTGTACGTGGAGATGAATCGACACACAAGGATAGGTATCTGCGAGCTGATATAGAATAAGTATGTTGAAGATTTGAAAATCAAGAAATAATGGAATACCTGAGGTGTGGCGCATATTTTGCAATGCTTAGATAATAAAGTTCTGATGTAAATCTTTTTATCTCTAATCTATTTTCTGGAATCTATTTATCGTAATTATTTTGTCTGCAATATAATATAATTACTTTGAACATATGTTTATACATTGTGTATTTTGCTTTTGATGCTGTTTGGAAATAAATAAAAAAAAAACTTTCCACATGTCGAGGCCTTGACGTTGGAGATGGGGCTTCACTAATCTGGGACAAAAACAAAATCTAGAACCCTTTCACACTTAACACATATATTTATTTCAAATATGTGTGCAACAATCGCTAATTCAATAAATAAAAATCAGTCATATTACTAATTTACATTACTTCATATTTATTCTAAAAATAAATAAAAATACGAAAAAAAATTATGGCGTTGAACTGCCTCTGCGTCAAAACGTACAGCGTCGACCTGCTTTGCAGCATGCATTCTGGCTATTTTCATGCATATACTCAAAAATATGCCAAAAACACACTCTATCAAATATTACCTCAAGGGTGTAAATAATGAGTAAGTTCTAAAAATCATTCTATTTACTTGCTCAAGTTCATATGTTTTCGCACGATCTTCATCCAAATCAGCATTTTTCTTGTACGCCATGGACAATGCCCACACTGCCATAATAGAGTAAACGCTATCACGTACCCATGCATGGTCATTACGTGAAGAGGATCTAATCAAACCAGTTACAGGATTCTAAAAAATACAAAAGTGAATGTTGTTTTATAATACAATAAACAACAATGCAGGAATGTATTTTAAAATTTTATTAACTACAATATTTAGTTATATACTTCCCATCTCACCTATTCTTCCCGCCCCTGATGCCAAAATGATATTTCAGCTACTGATTTAGAAGTATCCCACAGTTTTTTATAACTGATCACATAATTACTTCATCAATGATGCAGAGACATAAGCAGCGCATGTTATCACAGCAAAAGGAAGACGAGAAAAGTGAGTGTGCAAAGCATAAACAGTTGAATCATTTGTTTAAATTCTGGACTGTGATTGGATAACAGCTCATTACATTGTGAGATTAATATGATGACATAATGCAAAATAGTTTTATTCTTCACTTTAATTTTGGTACTTCCTTTTTCTAGCCTAAAAATTGTAAGTATTAATAATACAGTCAAAAGTCGTTAATTCGGACGTCCATAATCCGGAATGATCTATAATCCGGACCTCAAAGCTATAAACTTTCTGCGCCTGCATAAAACCATAATGCATTTACGCTTCCATATTTACTGTATAACGGACAGTATAAGCTAAGCTAATTATCTATTTCAGTTAATGTGCCGATTGCGTGTTCCTTATCTTCGAATTGGATCCGGCTTATTTTTTGCAGACTGTAGAGAAATTTTAAAAGAAAGCTTGAACTTTCGATTATGTAAAAATAATTTCCGATTATACTGCCAAGGATCTACAAAACGAAAGGCATGTTTCGAGTCCACAAAAAAAGTGGAATTGCTGCAAAAAATGAAGGCCTATCATTTGTTTTCTAACCATTTCAATCCGTTTATCAATTTCACGCTGCTCTGCAGGGGAAAAGCAGAACGCAATGAACTGGAAGTTGATCTGCAGCACTATCTTATCTTCAGGGCAGATGTTTTATTTTATTGCTTATAATTCCTTATTAAATGTAGTATTTCATCTCATTATCCGTCTTTGATATGATTTAAATCAAATTCCTCACGTCATTATATTTTGCTTCCGATACGAAAGAATGTAAAAACAAATAAATACTAAGCTTTTTTTTTTTTGTAAATTTTGATACCTTAGATCATAATTGCTCTCTATTTCATAAATTACGGTTTCATATTTTTAATTTTATAATTTCTGTATGCCATCTTACCAGATTTAAATTGATGATCCAAAATCCGGAAAAACCAATAATCCAGAATCACAGAAGTCCCGACAAGTCCGGATTAAAGACTTTTGACTGTGTATACATCTAAACTGCATCATAAAGCATTATAAGATCTTACATACTGATAACTGCACACAAATTTTATCCAGTCATGCAGCAAGATTTCTATTAGGCTGTTATCACATGCCAATTTTTTTGGAAGAATAACTGTTTGAAACAATTTTTCTGTTTTGTCAAAACAGTCAATCACCATACATCGCTCTGAGGTTAACACAGGGTTAAACTGTTTCCCCATTATAAACAAGTTGATAGCAGATTGCTTGAAAACGAACAACTTGCAATTTTTTTCGAAAGGAAGGAAAAAGTTCATACGTCTTTTTTTCAATAGTAAACCAGACAGAAAAATTGTCCAAAACCCTTGTTCATGTGAAACAAACAGCGTGCGATATGGGCTTTAAAGAACCAAAACTTTTAACACTCTTCCACGCTTCTGCTGAATGGATAGTTATTCTTCTGCTTCACTTGCTGCATGCTAGGATGCTGTCGCTTACCCCTCTCTATCATTCACTGTGTGTCTTAAGATGTAAATTTCAAAAAAGGTTATGAGGATTGGGTGCAGATTGTGCTCATGATAATGTATGAATCAGTTTATGCAACTAAAGAATTGTGTTATAGAGTAACAAAAATATGTTTAATCTACAGCTGTCTGTATGCAAGAGTCATCATGCTATCTATACAAAAAACCACCTCCAATTCCATTACAGCTACTTCCCTACCTAATTATGTGTGTGTTTGTAATAATAAGTAAAAGGTTGAATCCATAATGAAGAGCAAGAATGCTGATGGCATAGAATGGCGAAATGTCAATCTACAATGAATAAGAAAATAGGAGCTGGGACAACAAACGACTTAACAAATTATTTGTGCCTATTTCAAAATATTTACATTTTTGATAACTCTGCAGTAAGAAGGAAACAGCAGACAGCAGTCCAGCTAAGCTGAAGAGTAGTAAGCGAGTGCATTATGTTAAGAATGAAATGCTAATTCAGAGAGTTAGTTTAGCATGTTAATTCAGATTAAGACTGACTAGTTTTGGTCCTCAATGCATTTTAATTGGATAATTAATACTGCTGTAAAACTACTCTTGGTTGCTTTCAGTTTAGTTCCATTTACATCATCATGTAAGAGTCGTAAGACATAGATTAGTCTCGACACAGTGCAGGGAAAGGTTACTATTTTTAGAATAAGAGAGGGAAATTAATTTAAGCTGGTAATTTAAATTATAATTTACCTTTTACATAATCTTTATTTTCCATGCCTTTCTCTTTACGTAAGCCCTCGCCACAGAAATAATATACACAGCACAGTTCGCCCCTCTCATTTTTTCATGAGGTAAATTTAGTGAAAAAAAAAGGGGGGACAGAAATATGCAAGTAAATATGGTATGTGTGCACAGTTAAAAAATTTACTACAGAATCAAAATTAGCATTGAGAATTTGCTCAATTTAAATAAAAGAGATGTGATGCATTTCAAATTCTTGACCATATCTTTTTTGACTACTAATAAAAAAAAAAAAATAACAAATGCTCAAAGTTTTCTTACTAGTAACCAAAAATGGGGTAAAATCCTAGTATACGGTGCAGCCTTGGCGTGATTTGAACCCGTCGCTATTTTGAAAATTATCGCTAAGACCAAAAACTGATCAAAGAACATTACTATACACTATATACTATGTGTGTATACATATAATACAATATATTCTTGAATGACCTGTTTCTCACCGTACATGTCCCATTTTACTTTCATCATAAGTCGCCAAAAGTAGCCGAAACGGTGCCCGGTACTAGGATTAAACCAAAAAGGAAATTAGAACAGATTTTGAGTGTCTAGTTGTTTTACTTCATACTGATTTTGCCTTTTGCTTTCATCCTTTTTAGTAAGAGTTACGTTAATATGAGATAGACTTAAAAGCGGAATGGTTTAATCTAGTATTCGGTGCAACGGGATTTGGCTACTTTTGGCGACTTTTTAGGATTAGCAGTAAAAACGGACATATCGATGAGTAGTAACGGTCTTCAAGCAAAGATATATAATATGGGTCATTCAAAATAATATAGTTATACATTTTATAACTAGGTATATAGTGATAATATATATGGTCGTATATCATAGACGTTCTTTGGGTCATTTTTGGTGTTGGCGATAATTTTCAAAATCGCGCTAAGGCTGCACCGTATACTAGGATTTTACCAAGCTGAATAATACGGCATTAAGAGCTAATTTTTTTTCATTTCATTAGAATGACAAATTAGTCCTAAATATGCCCAACAAAATTTATGATTTTAAAAAAGTAATACTATCTTGTTAATTTATGTTATGCATTAAATAAACTAACTCTACCAAGCAGTTCCTAATTATTTAAGAATAAAAGTATTCTACTTAGTTTCAAAATTTCTTGAATCAAAACAATTCAGTTATTTAACTTTCAACTGATCGAATTTCAGATGACCTTGTGCAACCTTGCAAATAAAGAACGTATTTTTAATAACACTACGGAATTAACATAATATAAAGCTTATTATTTTAATATCTTTGAACATTACCTGATTATCTAATATTGTCCGATGGACTAAACGTTGATAATAATCTAATCGTGCACCAGAATTACTGCGACTCCTCATTTTGATAGTGATAATAAAGAGATAGAAAAATATTAAATAAGTTTAAATTCCATCAACATTTATTGACTAACTATTTACAATATATAAATCAATTACTACTAGCTACATTTACAATAAACGATTTAAAAGTTGTTAAAGCTAGAATGAAAAACATAGTAGATTTAACAACTACCAAGAAAGTAAACAAACAGACGATGTTCACACAGCTTCTCCAAATTTGGTAAAAATTAAGTTAATCCTTTAAGGTTCTTTTAAAAATTCAGATATTTAAGTCTTTATAATTTACTCATGCAGTTACATTTTTGTATTTTTTTCTTAATAATTTATCAATTTTGCATGTGATTTTAAAATTTCAGTTATTCATTAAAAAATAAACTTTAAAATAATAATTTCTGCTAAGCTTCATTTCCGTTTGAAAATTTTAAAAAAAATCAATCTCAGACTGGTGTTTACTTTTAAAAAAATTGCACTATCAAAATATTAATTTATGTTTTGTTTTGGAAAATGAAAAACTGTAGTGAAGTGATTAACAAGTGTTGACTTTGAGAAAGGTTTCAATATATGATATTATTTTCCTTCTTGTTTCTCTTATTCTTGCAGTAAGTATAGTATTTTGACTTACCATTCTGCAAAATTTTACGAATTTTTCCCTTGAAATTTCTTTTTCATTCTTTTGATTACAGGTTTGCAGTTATGGGCCAGAAGTGGGGAGAATTGGCTAAAATACGTGGTATAGTACAGTACAGGTTATCCCCATATGAGCAGAATATATTTGCAGGATTTATATCTAAAGGACTGCCTAATTTGGCCAGGAGAATTAGAAGTCAAATTCTTTATGTTGCTCCCCGTAAGTACTCTGAAAAATATTACGAAGTCTTAAAACATGTAATATATATACGTTAGGTGGGTAAAGTCCCCTGATAAAATGCCCACTGAACGAAAGCTGGAAATCCAAACGAATGAAATGATTCATTCCAAACGAAATGAAAGCCCCCATGAATAAAAGGACAGATGGCGTTTATCAGAGAAAAATGTGTTTCTGATTGTACTTACAATAAATGAAATATGTTTGTTTAAGTATTTCATCGCTCTTTTATTTGTATATTTTTTAAGTTTTCTGCTTTCTGTTCAAATGGTTAGCTATTATGTTTTGATGATAAATATGAATAATTTATTTTGCATGTGTGTGAAAACTAAAAATATCATTGTGAAGTTCCTTAAAGCTATCTTTAGCGTTAATAAGGCTATATGTATATGTTTCAATACTAAAAAATGGCCCAGGTGTTATTTAATCAAAGTACAGAATAAATTGTTTTTATGGTTATGTCAGAATATTTGCAAATCTCTTAATTCTTTAATTACGATGTATAACAGGATCCTCAAGGACTCAGTTACCCTAACTAAAAAAAATGTATTACCCTTTGTACATACAAATTGTTACTTCTAAATCAAATTATGCACCTGTATAAAAAAATAATTAATCTTAAAAAATTCCTTTCGTTTTAAACAGAACTGTGGCGCACAATGAATTGGAAGTTGATCTGTCAGCACATCCTTATCTTCGGCAGATGTTTTTATTTTATTTGGCTTAATTCCTTACTCAATGTAGTTTTCATTCTCGATGTACTCTGTCTTTTATGATTTTAAACAATTATAGGACTTCAACAGCGGAACTTGTACTAAGCAAGAAATTATTTGTTTAATAGAATTAAAGAGAAAGTATATCACGGAAACAAGCAACTTAAACAAACTTACATTGAAAGAAATTTAATAAAAGTAACCAATAAATATTAAGCTTTTTTTTGTAAATTTGATACCTTTAGATCATAATTGTTTTTTATTCATAAATTCTCGTTTTCTATTTAATTTGTAGTTGCATGCCTTACCAATTAAACTGAGATCTGTAATCCGGAATCACCGAAGTCCCGATGAGTCCGGATTAACGACTTTTGACTGTAGTATATATTTATCACCTCTTCATCTGTTTAAATATGAGTAACAGCTGATTTCAATAATTTTAAAAGGAAAAATAAACAGTGTAATGATATATTCATAATACTAAAGCTTTTCATTACATACAAAATTTACTTGAATCACATAGTACTAACTTTTGAAGATATTGAAACATTATACTTAGAAATTACCTTCCTATATTATTACCTACCTAGAGCTTATGTATATATGTAATTTAAAAAGAATTTAATGTATCGAAAAATAGCTGTGCTCGAAGGAATTGCAAATAAATTAATATTTTATAAGATTGTAATCCGATAAATTTGAAAGTCATACAGTTGTCATAAATTCAAGAAAAAAAATAATTTTATTCTTTGAGAGAAGACAAATGTTTTTCTGTAGGAAATTTACCATGCGTTTAAAAATTAGGATCTTAATTTAACATCTGGTATCATAAACTATCATCGTGATATCACCAGATGTGTTTCTTAATTATACAAAGATAAGAGCAAGAATAACTTCAGATTATCATGAGAAGTCTCAAAAAGCAATATTCTTATGCAGGGTTCGTAGCGGTCCTTACAAGTGCTTGTAAGTACTTATATTTGAAAATAAAATATAAAGGCCCTTAGGTGCTACTTTTTCTTAAAGCCCTTATTTTTTTTTTGTTTTAGTGCTATTTTTTTGCTTTTATCCGTTACCAGGCAAACCTTTTTTTTATGCAATTTCTTGGTGAATAATACTCGGAAATGATTCCCGTCTCTTTAAGAACCTATGTATGCGCGAAGTAGACAGGGCACATCGTTCTATGTCAAAATTGCAAAAACGTAAAATCCGGTACATTCGGTATTCTTTCCCCACCCAATACTGCCACGTTGGATTTCTTCAGATTTTAATATTTGTATTCTTCTTCCCGTTGTCAGTTCATTTCTTTTTTTACGATCGTTATGCTTATATTATGAGATATGCAGAATATTATAATAATATATTGCATACTGCTGAGTATAGATAAACTTCCAAAATGGTGTGTTTTACACACTGCTTTAAGGATAATATTCGGAATGCTTAAATAAAAGGAAAGTAATCGAAGTCAAAATAATTTTTTTTTTTTTTTTTTTTTTTTTCTTTTGCCATACATTATACAGTCGGAGGTGGGAGGTTCCCCCCTTCCGGCACAGTCCTATATGAAGCAGCAACTTTTTTTTTGTCACTCCATTGGATTGAATAGAAAAATTTTTTTTGCGGTCTGCAACCAAAGCGAAGATGATTCTATTCTGGAATTATCATCTGTTGAAATTAATCAGAACACCCGATAGAGATCTTCTTTCCTTTATTTAGCTTATTTTCTCGATACCGGCAGCTGTTGATTCGATGCGTATATACATGTGAAGAATGACACAGCATGTATGCGCAATAACGTTCATATTTTGCAGAGATATTATTTGATGTTCAGTCAAGATTGTTTATGACCGCTTAAAAGAGTTTACTGTGCTCTAAGCAGAATATTTCTCAGTTCCGTTGGTCTATTTATATGGCACATACCGAAATGTCAATAATTTATTTAGCCGAGAAATCTAAAGAACGGCTACAATCTCCCCCACCTCCTTTTTCCAGTTATATCCCGAATTTTCGGCAATTTCTAAGAGGTGGGGTAGTTAGCTTTCACTGCTAAAGGACTGCCCTAAGCAATTTCCCGTCTTCTGATTTCAGAATTGCCTCTTTTTTACTTAAATTTACTTTGCTTGGAATATATTTAGGAAAACTTATGCAATGAAAATTTAAAAATGTTCAGATTTGATTTAGGTATTATTTAAATACTATGAGTGGAAAAATAAATGTATTATTATTAGGTGCCAAACGATACAATTAATATGCTTATTATTTTTTTTATATTATTGAACTGAAATTTCATCCATAAATCTTGTAATATAGTTTAGTTTCTGCATAGTTTTTTTCTCTCTTGAAATAATTCTGTAAATTGAACTGTCATTTAAAATTAAAAAGAAAGTTAATTGTTTTCCGTGGTTGAGGTAATGCTTATCTCTATAATATTGCATTGCATATTTTAAATTCAAGCATTGTGTATAATGTAGGAACGTGCTTTTTTGTCCTTAAAATGTGCTTGAAAAGTGCTTATAGGTGCTTATTTTTTTAACTAAAATGTGGTTATGAACCCTGTTATAGTTCAGAAATGACTTTACTCTGCCTTTAGAATTTTTATCCTAAAATTTTATTCTTGAAGATACTGCTTTATATTACAGTTTAAGAACTAAAAGAGGCTGTTAAAATAAAGTACAAAAATAATTTATTTTGTTCTTAAATTAAATAGCATCTCCTCCATTTTTTTTTAATATTGAAACGTGCATAATTAGTCTTATTGACTTTTAGATAAGCTTTAAGATAGCTTGTATGGAACTTCAGAATTGTATTTTTTATTTCCTCTTACACAGGCAAAATAAAAGAAATTTTCAGATTTATCATCAAAACATAATGGCTAACCTCTCAAATAGAAAGCAGAAAACTTCGACTTAAAAAATATACAAATGAAAGTGTGATAAAATATATAAGCAGACATATTTTTGAGACATCAAAAATCAGAGTCAAATATTCTATTTATTATAATTACAATCATAAATTTATTTTACATTGATAAAAGCTGTGTGTCCTTTTATTCACATGAGTTTTTATTGGTGGGGGCTTGTATGAATGTAGAATTTTACCACTGTAGATATTTGTTGCATGGGCTATTATCACAATGGGATTATTTTTGTTAGTTTTTATCATGTGCAGTTTTTTCAAGTGGGCTTTTATCTGGTCAGCTGGGACTAAAAGTTGTCTCTATGATGAATATTTTCTTATATTAATTGCTCTTAACAAAAATTTAAAAACTAATGCAAAATTGTTTACCTGATAAAGAATACATTTCAAGTAATGAGAACATAGTATTGCATAATGTGCAGATTTGTGTTAATAATAGAACAAAATAGTTTTTCTAATTGTTGATGTAAAAATCTGTATTTTTAGAGGTTATATTTTGTTAACCACTATTTTACCAATGATCGGAAAAATTAATATTTTTCTTTTAAATTTCTAATTTTGTCTCATAAATAGTTAAGAAAAGATAATAAATTGAAAAACATACAAAACTTTTATTTTCTTTTAGTTTTTTCTTTCATGCACATTCTTTTATATGGAATGGTAAAAAAACAACTTGAACGTAAACCAATATTGGATTTTTTA